TTGGATTACTGCAGTAACACCTGCTTCCATGATTTGAATAACATGAGCAACTCAAGAGATGGGAGTAGAGAGTCAAGATACGGATTCTTTTGGGTAATGATGAAGGTGCAAGCACAGATGGGGGCTATTTGATCATAGATGAGTAACTATGGGCTCAGTGTGCTGGGCACCTATCCATGCTACCTAAGTTCTCAGAGCCTTCTTGGCTTGGCCTGGCTTGAAGGAGAGAGGCAGCCACACAGTACACTATGCTTAATATGTTTACCATGTATGGCGTGCTCAAATATCAGAATCCAGGTCCCGTTCCCAGAAGGGGTACAACCTCCACCAGTGTGGGCAAAGGACCAGAGCTTAAGTTGTAGTCAGCCTTTAGGCTCCTTTTCACCAGTCTGGACTCAGATGCCACTTTCTTCAAAGCAGCTTGTTGGTGAGTTATTAACAGCCATATTTAACAGCTGAAGAAATACAGGGGGAAGTTTAGAAAACATGGCCAATGTTGTAGACTGGAACGATTTTCAAACACTAGGTGTTCAGCTGATGTGGCAAAGGCTCCAGGTGGAAGAGACTCAGGACTCAGTGGGAGGGGCAGGGGCATTGGAATGAAGATGTATTCCTAGTCTGCATCCTTTGGGGATTAGAGCGAGTGGTGACAGGAAAGAAGAGCATCAGCCCCTCCCCTGCTGCTACTACTGACTCTGAAGGGGGTGGGTAGGAGAGAGTGTGGGTGGTGGTGCAGTTCTGCTTTTCCTGACAGGCCAGAAAGAGTGGGAGGCAGCCAGCAAGTCTAGGGAAGAGGGACCCAAGTGAACAATACACAGTAGACTGATGAGCCTCTCGCTGTCTCCTTGCAGACTGCAGACGTTACCAGAAGGTAAAGGTAAATCCCTAGAAAATAACACTTCGGGCTAACTAATATTAATGTTTGATATCCTAAAGTAAATTTTGATCTTGGAAATCATATTTTTAAAGAATTTTAAACACCTACAAATACAAAGAGCATAAAGGAACTACATAAAAAAGTCATTAAATGGTTTCCAAATTCTGCAAAATACAAACAATATCAGAATTAGTGGTTATGTGGCCTGTGTGCAGATACCTGCTTCTAACTATAAGAAGAAAAAGGAAACAGTGGCCAAAATGAATGATGTTCATTCCAGGAGATGAAACAGAAAGTGTAATCTGCTTTAATAATCTAGTTTTTCATTTGGTTTCAAGACCTGGCAAGCATCAAGGAATTAACACACACATATATGGTATACAGATTTTGGACATATAAATTCTTTGTGGTAATTTGGGGAAAGGTTTCATGAGTGAGTTGATCTGGGATAAATAACTGGCATAAAACAACACTAAGGCTGCTGAATACCAGGTGGGCCAGTGACAGGAGACCGTTAAAGGTTCTAACGCTTATCCAGAAGAAACCCATCTGATACTGCTGCCAAGTCACCTTTACGTTTGAAGTTTCACAGGCCTATAGCAAGATGAATGTTGAGCTTCAAATTACTAATCTTAACCCCAAATTATTAAAGTGGGGTCTTTTAATGTTAAATTTAGAAGGAAGGGGGAAGAGATCAACAATAAAATCATACAATGTTTATGAAACCATATCGTAAATAGTACACCAAAAAACAGTTCACTACCCAGAAGGGGATAGGGAAGAACAGAATTTAGGACAATTTTTAGAGTTTCAAATAAATATTGTGGCAGAGGGCAGAAATCAGGAGAAATCTTCCTCTTGCTCTCTTCGGCATATTAGCAGAGATTTGTGTAAGGTTGTGCAATAGCATAGACTTTAAACTTGCTCTGACTTACATTCTTGTCTGGAGATCTTGCTTAGACTGCTCCCAGGCAAGCTACTCCTGAGAAATCTGCCCTGTGTTTTCAGAAACCAGCTCTCACATAGGTTCTTTTGACAGTTCCACTTTATGGAATATCACGTTTAGTCAGAGACATTTGAAAAGATTTATAACTTTAGCTCTTTCTTACTGATAATGGGGGATTTTTGTTTGCTTCTTGCTTTTAATGACCTATTCATTTGTGGCTGAACTGTGGGCTTGCTCTCTACCCCACTACCTCTTCTCTCTGTCCCTCTCTTGTCTCCTAGTAACTCGTCAAGTGGACACTGATGGTTTTAACACACCACTCATTTTTGTCCTCCTCCTGCTCTCTCTCTCTCTGTGTCACACTACATTTGGCTGTGTTTTATTTTCCATTGTTAGAATACTTTTTACAAGAGGTCAAGGCAAGCTTGGCAATTAAATTTTGCATTTCTGAGTTGAACAAACTGTGCTGTTCTTTCAGAACAATTTTCATTTTGCAAGTTTTAGGGACTCCCCTTTGACTGCATCTTAGGAATGAAACATTGTTAACTTTGAGCAGACTGTTTATGACCCAACAATTATCCTGGAACCAGGGTGGCTTTAGACTGAAAAAAAAAAAACACTTGCTTTTAAAAAATCACTCTGTAGGCAAAACAAAAAGAAGAAGAACCTTAATCTAAATTTACAACTCATTAAAGCTAACTCGGTATGGATACCACACTTTAATACAAAAGATAATACAATTAAACTTTTAGAAAACAATGTACGGAAATCTTCAGGAAGGACTGAGGTCTGGGCCAAGAGTTGTTGTTAGACTTGACACCCAAAAGGCACAACCCATCAGAGGAAAAACTAGTAAGTGAACTGCATCAAAACTGAAAATCTTTACTCTGGAAAAGATGCTGTTAAAAAGGACATAAAGAAAATCTACAGACTGGGCAAACTTACCAGCAAACAAACCACATATCAAAGAATCAGTATCTAAAATGTATTAAAACTCTTAAAACTCAAAAACAAAACAAAACAAAACAAAAAAAAAAAACAAACCCCAAAACACTTTATAGAGCAAGTAAATGCATAAATCTCTCAAAACTCAACAACAACAAAAGACAAACAATCCAATTAGATCACAGACCAAAGTTATAAAAAGACATTGCATTAGTACAAACAGCTAATAAGCATGTGAAAAGATGCTGAACTTAATTATCCATTAAATAAATGCAAATTAATATCATCAGATATCACGACATACCTATAAGAATGGTTGAAATAAAAAAAAAGAAAATGCCAAATGTTGATAAGAATTCAGAAAAACTGGGCCAGTTACATACTGCTGATGGGAAGGGGAAGGTAAAATGGTACAGTCACTCTGGAAAAAAGATTGGCAACTTATTACAAAATTAAACATGCTCTTTATCATTTTACCCAGTGAGTCTACTGGGCAATTATCCCAGAAAAATGAAAACTTAAGTTTGCACAAGTTTGTACATGATCCTAGAGGTTTGTGATGGCCCCTAACTGGAAACAAGCCAAATGTCCTTGGTGAGTGATTAAGTATTCACATCACGGAATACTATTTAGAAATAAAAAAGGAACAAATTATCTATGCAAGTAACTGCAAGTAACATCCTGTATACTCTTAAGTGCTGTAGCCTAAATGTGTACCCACAAAATTCCTAATTTGACACTTAATACCCAAAGTAATAATATTAGGATGTAGGGTATCTAGGAGGTGACTTGAGTCATGAAAGTAACACCTCATAAATGGAATCAGTGCCCTTATTGAAGAGCCCTAAGAAATCTCCTTGTTCAGTCCATTATGTAAGGGCAAAACAATAGGACCGTGGCCTTTCGTGAGGCAGGAAATAAGGCTTTCACCAGAGAATCCAACCATGCTGACACCCTAACCCAAACTTCCACTTTCTAGAACTGTAAGAAATAAATGTCTGTTGTTTATAAGTTACTTAGTTTGTGACATTTGTTACAGCAATCTGAAAGATTAAGATAAAAAGTGAATTTCAATAAGTGAAAAAAATCCAATCTCAAATGGTTACATACTGTATGGTTCCATTTACATAATATTTTTGAAATTTCAATTACAGACATGAAAAACCAATTATAGGTTGTCAGGGGATGGTAAAGAGAAAGAAGGTCGTGATTGTGACTACAAAATAGTAGCACATGGGCTCTTTTTGATGTAATTGTTTTATATGTCAGTTGTGATTATGTCCACAAACACACGTGTGATAAAATTGCTTCAAACTAAATATACGCAAACATGTACACACAAATGAATGCTTAAAAATCATGTAAACTCTTTTTCCATTTACAATCTAAAGCCTCACTTGATGTCTGGGTAAAAACACCAACAAATCATTAGTTTTCAGTTTCCAAGACTCATATTTGGAAAACAGGAAAAGATCTTGAGTGAGCAAAGAGTAGGGTTTCAGGAGGTGGTGAAGCTAAATTCAACTAGGAAATGGTTCAACTCAGGAGACCATAAGGATCATTTTAAGCCCATGTTCTCACTTTGAGTTTGAAAACATTCCAGCTATCAAAATGATTTATAAATGTTTAATCATATCATTAATTTACTATGATTAGTAAGTTACAGTCATATAGATGTTTAGATCAGATTACCAGCTAGATTACTTCTAGTCACACACCAACAGATAGTATTTATCCTGGATGAGTTTAAGCTTAAAAAAAAAAAAAAAAGATATACAGCCCAGTGACAGAATTTCACCCATTCTATCTATCTGCAAAAATATTATTTTAGTAACAGACTCTCCGCAGATGGTAAACATTAAACATGCCAATACATTTTTAGTGATAGTTCAACCAATTAAGCTATAGAACAGCAAGAACTAAGCACTTAGGCTTTAAAATTCAATGTGGGTTGCCAATGTGGAATTCCTAGCAGTCTGCAGTTCTATGCGTGACAGCTAGATTCCCAAGCAGCATTGGCCTAAGAGAATTGTCAAAGACAAAGAGAAGAAACAAATATTCCTCTAACATAAATGAGAAAAAGGACCCAAGTAGGCTAATCTTCTACTAGTCACCTGCTCAGTTTATGAACAGTCACAAAGTACAACATCTCAAGTAATGCCTGAGGACAAAGGATCCTTAAACTTTTTTTTTTTTTAAGTACTGATACAATTTTGCACAGTGAATGCTTACCGAGCAAAATAACTTTGTTTCCGTTCTTTCTTTTCTTCCTTGGTATCCATAATACACAATTGAAAGTGCAAAGTATTTGGAAAAGTCCCTTTGAATCAATGAGTCATAACCCTGTAAAAGAAAAAAAAAGAAAACAAAGCGACTGTAAATTAAGTTTACAAAGACTAATATGAAGGAAAAGCAGAGTAGAGCTACTGGGCCCAAACAAAGGGAAGGTAAACTGTCACACAGTCCCGTGAGTCATATACCAAATACAATGCCCCTCAGAATGGAAATGTTAAACTATAAAAGGGGGACGGAAAAGTAAAAGGAAGTATTTTCCTCAAAATCAGCAATTACTTCAAAATGTGCTACAACAAAAATCACTATTTTGGGCTAGGTTTGCAGAGCTAATCGCTTTTTAATTTTTAAACACATCATGGCTCTTTTGAAATAAGTAATAGGTAATTATGAAAAGTGGATGACTTAGGTGTTTTATAAAAAATGTTCTTTCTTCAAAAATATAAATAACATCCATGTTCTATTTTATTTTCGGAAATATGCCAGTAAGTACATCCCACGTGAGCAAATGTGGAAATAAAAGCATAAAGGCCCAGGAAGCTATTCTCCAGACAGGCTTTATATGCCTGGCTCTGGCAGTTCTCTTACCTATGTATCCCAGGAGCAGTTTAAAACAATAATAAAAGGTTATCTCCAGATCAACCTTTCTTAAAATACCACTTCCATCAAGCTCCTGTGTTCAAAAATTTCCAATATCTACTGACTATCTGATTCACCAAACTAAACTTTCGTCAGAGCAATAACCTTTCCTAAAATCTGTCCTTCCTCTCTGAAAAGCAAGGAATCTTCATCCATCAAACGTATTTACTAATTCATTTCAATTCAGTAAACCATTCATAATATCTATGAAAAGTACTGTCGGTGGTATCTGAGACTAAAGATAAATCAGACATGGTCTCTGCCCCTTGGAATTACTTTCTTTCCAGAGAGACACAGAATCTTACATCAATAGCTATAAACTTATGGAGGAGGCCGGATGCCATCAGAGCATTGAAGAACACTTAGGAGTATAGAGGGACCCCCTCTCCACCTTGCACTCCCACTACACCAGAAATCGAAGGATGGATGTGAGTCTCCTATTTAAAGGATACAAGGAGGCAGGTCCAACTTGAACAAAAGCAAGGACACACAATATGGCCACACTGACCAAGGGTAAAGTGTGAAGCAGAACAATGGTGGGTGCTAGGGACAGACATGGGCAGGCTGCCATACTAAAGAGCTTGAAGTTAGTCCTAGCTCTGTGCTGTGAGCTTCCCACGCAACTGACTGCTCCTACATCAGACTCATTTAAGCAGACCTGCTGAAGCCAGCAGCAGCACTCACAGTAGCTGTTACCAAATTGGTCAGAGGTGGTTCATGGGGCGATACTAATGTTCTGACATAGATGAGAGGATGCTTCTGAAGCGTCTTCCGTGAGGGAGTGAATGACATGCTCGGATTACAGAAAACGGATTTGAGAGGATTAAGAACACAATAGATGGGGGCCCTCCCTGGAGGGGCAGTGGGTTAAAGTGCAACACTGCAAGCCAGCTGCAGATGCTTCAGCATAAATTCAATCCCCCGCCCTGAGATGACCCACATGTGCTACCCGCTGCTCCCCTCAGCAGTGTACTTTGTCGATCTAACTGTCCTTCTCCCCATTCTATCTCTGGTGAATCCTCTCATGGCCCCTTTGCTTCTGTGTGCATAAGTAAATAAATCTTTAAAAAAAGAAAGAAAGAATTAAGAAGCAATACATCAAGATTTGGTAGCATGGCCAACAAAGACACATGGGAAAGAAAGGAATGACAGGTCTCTCAAAGTTTCTGCTCCCAGGACTGGGTAGATGGTGACACAATCCTACAGATACAATCTACATGGTAGTGGGAGGCAGTGGGACTTGAGTGGGATGGGGAAGTGGAAACAGATAAGATAGCAGTTTTGAACATGTTGACTTTGAGGTGCCTGTGTGATAGTGAGCTGGAAACATTCATCAAGGGTTTGAGTGCAGTTAAAGCACAGGAGTGCAGTAAGAGTTGGAAAAAAAGGATTTAGAAATTACCAGCGGATGGTTGTAATTAAGAGAAAAATAGTTGAAAAATGATATGATAATGATATCATCTTGGAAGCATGAAGTCCTTTTGGGGGAGCAGTGGGGAGCAAAATTTCCACTCTTGTTGGTTTCCAACATGGGCTGACATGGGCTGTGCCCTCAAAGAGTTTACCTACCAACCAGTAAGAAAAGTAAAGTGTGTGTAAAAACTAAAACCGAGCAGTTACTTGGAGATGCCTAGTAAACATTAACAATGCAGAAGATGCATGTTTGGTTGAATAAAATAAAGCTTTCAGTTTGACTGAAGTAATAAAGTAAACCTTTCTTTGGTGAGTGCCAAAGAGGAGAGATGGCATTCCAGAACGAGGGGACACCTGAGCATAGTATAGGCATGAAAAGGTCACACATTTCAGATAAGAAGGGCAGCCTGGCTCCCTGGTACAGCGAGGGAGTCAACCCAGACACCTGCCTACTGGAGTCATTTATTTCAATATATTGCTCATATATTATCTCTTTTAACCCTTACAATCACATGATGAGCTAGGTATCTTTATTTCCTTTAAACTGAAGCCAACAGAGAGTAAGGTCTCTAATTCAATAGTTCCAGCTCTGGTGGAAGAGGGATTAAAATGATTTGGTGGGCTTTTCAATAACCTCTGGAGTCAGACAGCATTTGGAAAAGGCCAACTAAACAGCAGACTGATACAATCCAAAGCTTCCTTCCCACATGGGGGTGGGAACAAATCGAACCTGTAGGACCTTAGACTTTAGAAAGGTTTTGAACTCTGCTCTGGGCCAGGAGGTTTATTTTAATGTTCTGCATGCCACAGTATGTAATATCTCTGTTTATTAGATTTCTCCCCATGAATAACAATGAAGTCATAACAATCTCATTGGAAAATTTTTATGCTGCAAGCTGAGCCAGAAACTAATATTTGGTTTTAGTAGAAAAATATTGACAAAAATAAACACAAGAGAAAAAGATTAAATGATCCAAGAATTGACATCTGGTGCTGTTGTGTCTGTTTAGAACTAGCAAGGCTTTTTTTTCTGTTCCTTTTCAATAATGTATTTGATAAATAAAAATAAATTGCTAATCTTTGATTTCTTTCAAATTTCTTAGAATTTTTATATTCCTTAAATGAGATAGATACAGTCTGTTCAGGTCTAGATACACCACAGCTTAACCAGAAAGAGATGAGCAAAGGATGCTGTAAAAAATAATGTATATGGAACTCCCACAGCAGCCTTCATGCCTCGGTGAAGAATCCGAGCTCCTTAAATCAATCTCTAATGGGAAATACATTTTCCATTAGAAGTGGTTATAATGGACTTCTTAAAAGCCCTTCTTTCGTTTAAAGTTGACTTTTCCTCACATCAGTAAACTCTAGACTCACTCAAGCATTGAATTACAGGAGACTCCTGCATTTATGGCATATTACAAACCAAAAAGAATTTTATGAGGGAGCACAAGATAAATCTTGTATCCAAATATTTCTTTTTGCCATCTTAAATTAGGATAATCAATTTAAACCTACATTCAGTTCATTATTTAAATAAGAATGGCATCTACAAAATCCTTACCTCATAAGAGCTGTGTTGAAGGCAAAGTGCTCCCCATGAGTGACCATGGCACCACTGAGAACTCAGGCACAGAGCCATCAGTCTCCCTGACTACATCAAACCAGCAGGACCCACCACACACCCAGGGTGACTTTTGGCATTAGAGCTAACACACTGCAGCTCCTAGTACATTCAGGTATAACCAGACCAGACTAGAAACACGCCAGTGTGCCATGATGTTCATCCACTGTTGTCCCAACAATGTGTTTCCTACTACACAAATTAAATAATGACAACATGCTTTGAGGCTTGGTCACACTAATGCTGGTCACTTAATAAATAGATCAAAAAGTCCCTTTCTCCACAGACATTTCCTCCTAGCAAATCATTACAGTGAAATATGGCAATGTTCAGTCTCAAAGTTACAGTCATTTGAACAAAGGAAGGTAATGCAAATTTCCTTGTTAACCAAGGTCAACCATTTGGATATTCTCTAATAGAAAACTGAGGTCAGAGAAATAGATACATAGTATACCCCCCAACTAAGAGGAGTGCCCAAGAGATGAGACCCCAAATGCTAAACATTCATCAAAAAACAAAGCAACAAATATAACAACAGCAACAAAGAGCCAAAAGTTATGTCTGAACTAAGGTGATGATAAAAGAAGCGACTGAAACTCTGCTATTTAGGATTTAGGGAAATGGAAAAAAGGGAAACAATGACAAAATTAATAGACAACTCAATTCTTATAGCATTATTCTCCATTTAGAGAACTGACAAGAAGTAAGCACATGTGGCTGTCAGTGTTTTCTTATTAAAATGAGGAGAGAAATGTCATCAAACAAAGCTAGTAGGTCCTAATGAAGACCCATCTCTGGGTTAGCTAGGCCATTTTATAAGTTCTCTCTAAAAAGAAAATGTACAAATGAAGTTTCTACAAAGTCATTTGCAGGGTGAGGTATTGTGGAAGATGTGGAAAGTGCCAGAAATCTGACAAGATAAATATCTTTCTAATTTTCATCAAAAGTTAGAAAAAGAAATTGTGCAAACTGCACACTGGAGAACATCACAGAGCTCCCCAGCAGAATTTCAGAACTAATCATGAAAGGTGGATGGTCAAGGATTTGAACGAGAAAGTAGTGGGAGCTGAGATCCAGAATGTTTACAGAGAACCAACCTTTCTGCAAAACACACAACAAACAAGCAGGCCTCTTTGAAACCTGTGCCACGGATCAAGTACTCTGCTAGAGATACAAAGATACAAAGACAGCATTCATGGGCTAGGGAATGGGGTGGGTACAGACAACTGAGGCCCATCAGCTGTTGAGGCAAATGTTCTGATGTTGGTGAGCACAAGGATCACAGAGAGCTGAGGGAGGAAGAGACTGACCTTGTTAGAAAGGAAAGGAGTGTCACGGGCACTTCATAGGTAAATCAAGTGTCCCAGATAATGAA